TAGCACCCAAATTTAATGTGTGGCCATAATGTCATTGCTGGAAGCTGACTGCTGCTGTGCTCCTGAAAGAGACTGCGGATATGGAAGTCCTCGGGCAGTCTGGAAGTGACCGAACAAGTTAATGGAAGAACAAATTAATCTCTCAAGGGGTGCAGCTTCTGCTGGCTTGAGATGTCTCTCAAGCACCAGAGGCAGGTCAGTATGATGCCATACTGGCCATGTACTACTCCTGGCTGGCCCCCACCCAGCACCTGCAGGGGACAGGACAGAAAGTTAGATAAGACCTTTGGACTTACCCAACAAAGATCTTGTGGTATGCTTCTCCTTGAGGCAGGCTGTTTCTGAGGAAGAGAGCAGCTCTTGGCTTTGCAATCTGAGTGTGATTTGCTGTGAGTGTAAGCAGCACCCTGCTTTTGCCCTCTTCCTCTGCCATCAAATTCAAGTCCCACCATTCTTCTTGCTACATCTTTTCCTACACTCTTCACAGGAGTAGGAGTAGTATTTGAGCCATCTCACACACACACACAGACACACACAAAAGGTTTACAGCTATACATGAAAAGTATGGTCTAGTAGCATATTTACCTGTCCTCTCTAGTGAAACCTGGGCTAGCTGAGCTTGCAGTCCTCTGCATGTGAGGGCATGCAGCAACTCTTGCACTTCATGCTGCATGGTAGAGTTTGCCTCAGGAGTGTGAGGCACCAGGTGAAATCACTGAAGTACCATGCTTAAAGGGCCTCACCACCCCTTCTGCATCCCCACTCAAAAGTACATAGAATTTCTTACGGAAGTGTCAGGAAAAGATTCCTGGAGCCTTTCTGTGCAGGCTGTTACATACAGAGCTGTTACATGCATGCAGGTGAGTAGGAGCACCAAGGTCAGTGGCGTGGCTCTGTTCTTCCCGTGGTTAAATTTAAGGATGCAGCTAGGGTTGTCTGGTCTTGGGGTGAGGAATGGGATGAGGGCTCTAACATGGTTCCCTTCAGCCCTCAGAGAGCTACAGCTTTCTAAATCTTGGCCAAGGCTACCCTGTGGTGTGTACCAGTGCAGATCACCCAGGGTGAACGTGTGGCACTGATAAACCCTTGGAAACATAGAGCACAATGTCTTGTGAGGTTGTTGCAGCATGATTAGGAACCGTGGTAGGGCTCCACCTGCATCTGCACCAGGTATCGAAATGTCTCACATTTGAAGCAGGGAAGAGCAGTACAGTCATTTTGCCCTTGCTGATTTTCAGTCTGCTCTTTCTTGATTTGCTTAATGGGATCTGACTCGGTCAGCGTTTAGGGTCTTGGGTCCCCTAGGAGTTTATCTGTGAAAAGCTGCCAGTTATTAACTCATCATCATCAGAAACCCAATTTCCTTCCCTGTTAGTGGGGGAAGAACACCCCCTCCAAAGCTGTTGCGCGGTCACGGACGCGGCAGGTCTGCCCAACTGCGGAGGGGCAATGATTAGCCCGGGATATTACAGCAAATGCCCAGACCACAGGCCCAAGGTTACCGAAGCAGAGGAGTGCAAGGACAGCCCCGAAGCCCCCGATGGGAGCGGAGGATGTACCAGGGGAGCGAGGGGTTTTTTTGGGGGGGGCCTCTCAGCGGGAGGCGCCGGGCGGGGGCGGCTCCGGCGGCGGCCGCCAGGGGGCGCCGGAGACCGCGTGGCGGGGAACGGGCGGGGCCGCGGGGGGAGCTCCGTGTGCGCGGAGCGTGTGTGGGCACACGGGGGGCTGTGCGGGCGGGCACGGCCACACCGGCACGGCCACAGGGGCACGGCCGCCCGCAGGTGCGGGGCGTGGGGCTGAGCGCTCGGCTGTGCGCGTTGGGCAGCGCGGCGGTGGCTGTGGGGGCTGGACGTTCACCCGTGGTGCCCGCGGCGGAGGCGCAGGCGTCCCGCAGCGGTGCTGAACCTGTGTGTGTTGGCAGCGCCTTGCAGCGCTGTAAATTTCAAGTCTTGAAGGCAGGGAGAAGAAAGATCAGGCCCCAGAAATCTGCCCCCCCCCTTCCCCCAGTGACACACAGTCTGCCCCCTGCTCGTGCAGACACAAAGAGAAGACACCACGCACACGTGGGCTGTCACAGCCCAAGCTGCGTCTGGGAAGGAAGGCCAAAATTTACAGAGTGAATTGAAAATGGGCGGTATTTTCTGCACGAAATCTCACTCGAAATTAACATTTCTTTTTATTCTTACATTTTCACTCTTTATTACGCTTCAGCAGTTATTGTCCCCCAAAAGCCTTTGAGAATTTTATTTTGTGATCGAACTGCAGCCTTTCCCCATTTTTGCAGTACGTGGGACAGTAAACATAGCATCCATGGCATGTACTTAAACCAGTTCTGCTGTAAAACCCAGAGATTACATGTGGCCCCCAGGGTTGTGCAGGGACCACACTGGATGCCAGGCCTCATAGTCAGCATAACACTCTGCCTAACACCTGCACAGCTACACACAGCTCCCTGGTGCAGATAGCTGCTGCACGAGGTGAGGTGCAGAAGACCTGCGCATAAGAGGTGTCTGCAGTCAGCCGCACTGGCACACACAGGAGCTTAGTGGGGAAACATGAGATCCGTGTAACTTACACCATTTTTCAGCTGTGGAGATGGGCTGTTCTGACTTGTCAGATACCCTCCAGCTTATACACACAAGCTCAAGCAGAACAGAAGTGGCATGACCCTCTCCCAAGTCCTTCATCACACCATATTTCCTTGGGTGTCCTTTCTTATACCTACATGTTGCAGAAACACATCTCTTTACCATACCATGCCGCGCCACACCATGCCACGCCTCTGGCCCCCATCAAGCTCACAAACCCTGAACCACACACTTACATGTATCAAGGCAGTAGTACCCAGACAGACCAAACGTCCCCATACCTTTGCGGTGCTGGGTTTGAGTTGCAAGCCACCACAGGTGCATATGCCTTTGCTCTGATTGTATGGGTACCCTGGAAAAGTGGCCAGGAGGGGGATTGCTGCCACGCGTCTATGTGTTGCATACATGTATGTGTTAAGACAAATACTATTTAAGACAAATAGTAAAAATGTGATGGCAGAAGATTTTGTGTGGGCAACACGGGCTGCCTGGTGTGCTCTTGATTATCTGATGGGCCAGAGGAGTCATGTTTTGAAACTTCTTCACAGCCAATAAGGGATTCAAATGGTACCAAACAGGCGCCCTACAATTTTTAGAGTGTGAATGATGCTTTCTCTGAAACATAGGTCAGGTAAGGGTAGTAGCTGGATTTAAACTTGTTCCTGATCTCAGAGGGGAAAATAAGTTCCCATCACCCAAAAAAGGAGTAAAAAAATAGTGTTGTAGGATTTGTGTGACGAGCCACAAAAGACGTGCATGGACTAGCAGAAAAAAAAAAAAAAAGCCATAGATGGAATATAAATTTTCCACACAGTCCAACGCATACTTACTTAACAATGAAAGAATAGAGTTGGGGCACAAACAACTAATCTAGTAAGTAACAGGCTACATTAGGAAGAAATCAAACAAATGAAAGTGCTGAAGAATTTCAAAGGCTCTGGAGATACCTTTCTTGGATTTGCTGCCTTTCAGTCACCAGCTCAAGTTTAATAGCGAACGTGTTGCTCAGTGTGGCTGTGGCACCCATGCAGTGCGCAGTAGAGTGGGGGTCTTCGCCTGATAAACTCTGCATGTTATGAGAGGGGAGCTTGCACTTTGGTCTCACAGGGCTCTCCTGAACAGGGCCTTTTACTTTTTTTTCTGGCACCCCTCAGACATCAGAGTTTGCTTTTCATGGTAGTAAGCATGTCTTCTTTCTTCTACAGCACAGTCAGTTCCAATGCAAAAACTCATCTCCATCTCCGCATTTCAGCATTTTCCTGCACCCCTTCTGTGTAAAAAAACACTGCACATACACACATATATGTATGTATACGCTTATATGTACATGTGTACATGTACACAGGCATGTACATATACATGTGCATGCATGCATGTGTACATATAAATAAGTGTACATATATGTGTACTCATATGGGCACATATACATGGTGAGCATGTATTTCCAGAACCACAGCCATGTACATCTCCCTGCCCTATTATAAAGAAAAGGCTGCCAAGGCTTGGTATTGCAGGGTGAATTTAAAACAGCATCACTGCCGTTAAAGCTATCCGGAAAAGGGGACCCATAAATGAGTGGATGAATGAGAAGATGTCAGGAGTGCTAGCGCATAATACTCCTGGAGTGAGGCTGCGTTATTTGTTGCTGCAGCAGCGCGCTCCTCCCTGCCTGCTCTGACAGAGCCCGTGGATGCGCATGCACACACGTGCAACTTCATTTCCCACCCTTATGAAAAATCAACCTCCCTGGCATACCCTGCACCCTCACCCCATAGGTGTTGTGTCACAGGGCCATAAACACAGTAGCAAAGCCTGCCTTCACTCCGATTCAGAAATACGTAATTGCAGCCCATATGAGGGAGGGGAGACATTTGCGTGTTGGCCCCATGTTTTATTGATCAGACCACTGTGATGAATCAGCTCCTGCGGAGCTGGTGTCTCGCTGCAGACAGACACTGGCCACTGCACACAATTACAACGAGTCCTGGCATCTCAGGGGCCACCACCAGGAAGGTGACGGAGCGGGCAGCTGTGGGGCTGGTGACCAGGGGCTGTGTCTGCAAAGGTATGAACTGTGTTCTTGTGCTGGAAGGCCAGCAGTTCCCAGCTGGAGGCACAGCAAAGGATGAGATGTGGTCAGTAGCCAGGATTGAGCCTTCCTGCTTGCTCCAGCCTGAGTGTTGTTTAGGGAAAACCGCATGCCATTGGAGTATTGGGCTGATGGAAGGATGATGCTGAGAAGCTGCCAGGCAGCAGCCTGCACCTGGGCTGGAGGGAGCTCACTGGAGTGGGAAGGCGACTGTGCCCTGCAGCCCCAGCCCAGGAGCAAAGTGTTGTGTTCCTGTTTTATCCCCGTCTCACCCAGCCATGTGTAATCTTGTCTTCTTTTCTCTCCCTTCTCGCACCCTGCAGGACCCGGCACAGGGAGAGTAGACAACGGCTCCATGAGTTTGGCCGTCCCACTGTGGCTGCTGGCAGCGTCCCTGCTCTGCCTACTCAGCAAATGTTAATACAAATCAGAATTAAAAATAATAATATTAATAATAATTAAAAAAACAACACGACAACAACAACACACAAAACAAAATGCGTTATACAGGAGACAGAGCGAAGAGAGGGGAGAGAGAAAAAAGGGGGGGGGAGAGAGAGAGACGACTGTTTCTTTCACAACTTTTGTGTGTTCAGGAACGAAGAGGGGGGAGAGGAAAAATTACAGCAAAGAAGACTCAGCAACATTTAATCCAAAACCTGAAAAGCCGGCTGTCAAGTCACTGACTGTCTAGGAGGCAACACAAACCGAGGGAGAGAATGGGGCACCAGCAAGGATCGCGTTGCCGGAGGATGCTGCAATGTAAACAATCCAACAAAACCCACAAAGCCAATCAAACAGAAGATCCCTTTTCTTTTCTCTCCTCCTTCCTCTTTTCCATCCTTCCTCACCTTCCTTCCTTCCTTCCTTCCTTCCTTCCTCCTCTTTCCTTCTTATGCGGAAAGAGGTCTTTGCTTCGGTGTCTGTAGCCATTTAACTTTTTGGATGCCCTGGGTCATTTTTGTGAGCTAATGCTCAGCAAGTTCATACTTTTGAAAACAAATTTAAAAAAAAAAAAAAAAAAAAAAAAAAAAAAAAAAAAAAAAAAAAAAAAAAAAAAAAAAAAAAAAAAAGGAAAAAGAGAAAAAAAAAGCCACAAACCAGAGCAAGTCACCTGAAGCTCTCTGCACACTGGTGTCCTGTGAAGAACTCTTCCTCTCTTCACTTCACCCTGCGCTCATGTGCACCCAGCCCTTGCTAAACATCTTCTTTTCCTGTCCCTTCCTTCATGCAACATCGCCCTCACTGGCGTGAACTAAAGCTGTGTCAACTCTACTGAAAGCCTACTTTTTTTTAAAATCCTCTTCCTCTCCCCCCTCAACTCAACCAGGTGTCTTTCTCTTTCTCCTGTGTATGCCTGTGTGCGTGCGTGCATGCATGTGTGGCTCTTGCTCTGTCTTCACTCTTTCTCTCCTTCTCTTCCTCTCTCTAAGCATGCAAAATGAACAGTCCATGTGTACATATGCTCATCCTGCTGTAGATAATGTCCTGCCTTGTAAGTGTGAAACAAGATGCAGAGAGATCACTCAGGCAGAGAAGAGGGGTGAGGAGAGAGGGGCAGTTGCAAACACAGGTTTCCATGGTATCCTCTCCAGCATCCTCACTGGCTTTTTAACTTCTGACCACCTTGCTTGCAAGAAGCAGTCTGCACCCTTGTCTACCCTTTTTTTCTCTCCCACCTGCAACCTGTCTGGCTCTCAGCCTTTAAGTACCAGCATAGCAGCCCCTGCTACGCATGAGTGCTCGCACACATGCATGGGGGTGTGCACTCATGTGCAATTGTCCAAACAAGCAGAAGAAACTAGGACTGGCCTACAGCACTATGGACTGAAGAGTGCAGCCACCCACTCCTCCTGGGGATGGGAGGCTGAACCAGTGGGATGTGAGTGATGAGACCTTGGACATCAACAAGCAGCCATTCCTTTTAGGTATAGTGTGTGCATAGGAGCAATGCCTCAACATGAAAACAACAATCTGGTCATTCCTAACCATTTTGGTAGTCATGCAAAAATAGAGCCAATACTCTTTTTTGTTGTTTTGTTGTTTTCATTCTTATTGTCTTCTCTGGTATAAAAGGAAATGTAGGCTCTGTGAGAGGGTGAGTGTGTGTGTGCTGTACACCATTGCTACTACAAAACTCAATGCAAATTCCACACTGGAAGAAATTGGGTCAGAAAATGTCCAGGACCTGTGAATGGAAGAAGTAAAACAAATCTCAGGTCCCAAATCCTAAGCTTATAAAGAAGGAACTTAAAGTGGTTCAGCAAAGAAGTGGGCAGCACAGTTTCCCTTGCTCTTCTATTTTCTCATCTCCAAAGGTGCTGGCCTTGCTGGAGAGTGCTGTTGCTTGCCATCACACTTCCCATGGCAGAACCACATGCAGAGGTGCCAACAGGAGATGCTTTGTGGCTCCCAAGTGAGGAGAAGGAGGGAACAGGCTGTTAGAAACAGGGCTGAGAAAATGCTGGGTGGTGGCTGGAAGTTGCCGCATCAGCACAAGGTCTGCTGCAGGGGGAGAGAGCAAGGCATCAGTCATACATTCTAGTGGCTGCAGTGCATGTGTGTGGGCAGGGGCAGTGGGGAGAGGACTCCTGTGTCTCCTGGCCAGTCATGAGCCCTAGTATCCACAAGCAGCAAAGATGATAAAACACAGTGCTTATGAGGTAGCCACTTGCTTTACTGGGGAGAGGGATGTGCAGGAAGAACTTGAGTTAGCCCACACAAGTAAAGTGACCATCCCATGACAGTACAAGGGTTTTACAGGTGCTCAGCACCCGTGAGCTTTCAAGCACAAGCCATCTTGCTTTTCTGTCTTTGCCCTGCGAGTTTGCACAGTAGCAGAACGCCGGGCAGACATGCTCGCACACTCTTGAAAGCAAGGGGGAAACTGCTGGGCCTTGCCGCTCTCCAGTGTGCTGGAGGGGATACCCAGCGGGTGGTCCCCTGCAAGGAAGGAAAGTGGGAAAGTGCTGCCTGCGAGACCGTCCCCATCTTTGCGTGGGTGGGGCACAGTCTGATGAGGCTTCTCCCTGCTGCTCGGCGTGATGCTTTCGCCTTGCACTGCGGCACTGCCGACCCTGCCCCCTCGCTGCTGAGCTCAGCTGTTTCAGGCAGCAGCAGGCACGCAATTAAGCAGGCAGTCAAAGGCTCCTCACAGGCAGGCAGAATGAGCGAGGAAATTTGTTGGAGACACGAGAGGCTGAAGTTTGGGCATTGCAAGAGTTTCTACAGAGCTGCTGTGGGATTGCATGGTGGTAAATTATGCTCCTCTAGACCCCAAAACCATACCTGGAGGTGTTTGTGCTTTGGTGCAAGAGGGGAAAGCTGGGCAACTGGTGCATGAAATCCACCCAAGGCATCCAGGGATGGCTCCCCTCTTCCAAGATAGGGCGTTCATTGGTGGGACTTGGGCATCTCCTTTGGAGACTGGTGTGCCTGTTGTTGCCCAGGAAAAAAAAAAAAGCCCTGTATCCTTCAGAGCATTCAGACATCCCAGTCCTTGTACCTACCCTTAAGGAGGGTCGTGTAATTTAGTGTCTTAGTAACATGTCCAGATTTCCTGCTACAAAAGGCCTCCTCTTACCCCTGCTACAGCCACTATCTGATGCTGGTTCTAGAAGCTGAGTCTGGGAGCTGCACCCTTTCGAGCACACTGGGACACCATATTGCTCAATCTCGGTGCTGTGTGGATGGATTTATTGTTGCAGGCTTGGTGTGAAAGGTGGACAGCCTACTGTGTCCTGCTGTCACAGGCTGTTCCTAAAGGCTGGGTCCGACCCACTTTAGGTTCTTTGATGTCAACCTGGTTGCTTTTGTAGCATCTGTCCCATGTGTTGTCCTCTGCATGTTTTTTTTTTTTTTTGTCACTGTGTGGTCACTCCGAGGCACAGGGATCCCACACATCAGAGTGCTGTGGTGTGGTAGTAGTCACAAGTCCCAGTACTTCATTGTCTCACATCTATTTTGGTTTGAAGGAGTTTTGAGGGGATGTTTTTTTATATGTCAAGGCACAGAGGCTTATAGTTAAAGGGAAATACCTCACTAAAAGCAGGATATCCATTTTTGGAAGCCACCTGCTTGTTAGCTGGGGGAAATGGACACAGCCCCAGTGCTGTGTCCAGATCCTGTGTGTGAGTGATCTGGCCTTTCCTGCGGGCCCTTGGCAGATCTTTGCCTCTGTTGCATTGCCGTGAAATAGGGTTAAAGTCAATTATTTGCAGACCTGTCTGAGACAAGCCACCAATAACAAGAATGCCTGTTGTCTGCAGCAGTTCTGGGAACCCCACTCCTGGCAATGTCTGTTCTTTGGAGGGCTGGGGGTGTCATGGGTAGGCTGGAGCTTGATTTATTCCTAGAATCTAATCCTGTTAGCTGCATTGTGCATCACAGGATACTGTAAACATCCCCCAATTTCTCGTGAACTCAGGCAGGGATTGCTCAAATCATCTGTCAAGAGGTGAGGCCAGTTGAATATACGGAACACAGGCAAGGTCAAATGCTTTCTCCCCCCTCCCTTTCTCCCCTCCACCCTCTGACAGAGATGTTGCAAAGGTTTTTCTCATGTCTCAGTCCCTTTTCTCTGAAACTGTTTCTCCTTCTCATCTATTCTGCGCTTTCATGTTGCTATATTTCCCATTCCCTCCCGAAAAACTGGGCTCTTGCTTCCTGCTGCCTTTCAGCTGGTTGAGGACCAGGAAGGATGGGAGTTTAGAATGGGACACCAGTTCCTTGAGCTTGTCAGTGTAATTGTGTTTGGTTGATGGAGATTTAACATTTAGTGTTATAAAAAGAAATGAACAAAATGGATAAAAAAAAAAAAAAGAAAAAGAAAAAAATGTATTTCTTCAACTTGTTTGTAAATATTACAAGAATTACATGAGATGTCCGGTAATGTCCAAGCAGAGGAACAAAAACTTAGATTTAATATATGGGCCCATACTTGCTAGCAGATTTCTAACCCTTTTCGGATGACCGAGAGGAGGGGTGAAAGCAAGTGTTTCTGTACGGAACTGGACAGGGGAAATGCAGCCACCCCGAGCCACATGAACTCCATGCATGATTATAGCATGTTGCTTGGAGCGTGTGCCTGGTCAGATGGAAAACGAAGCAAACGCCTGTCTCTGTACGGCTGGGAAGGGCGACATGGGATGCTCCAGCCGACACCTGTATCTTGGCAGTTGTGTTCATTTTTGTTTGTCTGCAGCCCCGTAGCTTGGGGGCATGTTGCTCAGTGATGCACCCCCTCCTCCCCCCCACTGCTTTCTTCTCCAGTGAAGTTGTGTCGCCCCATGGTAGCACCGAGTGCATGTTAGCGTGCCATTCATGAAGATTTCATTGGTGACATGCATTGTGTCGAGAGTTAGTCTTTGTCCGCACATCTTTCTTACGCCACTGACTGTTCACCACTTGGGCAGATCTCCCGTGTAGTCCTGCTTGCCCCACTTTTGGTCAAAGTACATCCAAGCCCCACCTGCTCTTCTTAGCTCCAGGTGCATCCAGATCATGCCCCCAGGCCACCTGTCTAAGCAACCCCATTTTGAAAGTCCAATCAAACAGCATGGACAAAGTCACTGTCAATAGCCACGTGGGCTCCAGACTGAGTGGAATCGGAATCTGGAAGGAATCGGGGGGAGCAGCAGTGAGTCCCGATGATACAAGAGCATTTGGGGAAGAAGATCTGGGAAGTCAGAGGAGTTATGCTAGAGTCCTTCACAGCCCCACCACCAGGTGATGTTTCAGCTCAATCTTTGTGCAGTGTTTCATCGCTTCGCCCTTCCCTGATGAGGGAATCTACAGGCACAGGGAAACAGCTCTTCTCCTCCCAACCCATCTCACACCTCTGCTTCCTCTCCTCCAAGTGCACTGACCTGCAGCCTAAATCATGATGGTGCTTGATGTGATGTAGCAAGTGACATGGAGGATAACTGACCAAGACAGTCCTACAGAGGAGGTGCTAGGGGCGTGAGCAGTTCTTTTCTCTCTCTCTCTCTCTCTCTTCTGATGGTGCACAATCTTACTGCTTCTCTGACTCAAGTACACAAAACTTCTTGATTTAGGGATGCCGGGAGCAAATTGTTCTATGGGAAGAGGAAAACTTCAGGCAGGGAAGTGATTGAGAAACTGGATGGTAATTTCCAAGATGTGGTGCCAGTGAAAAAGGGTAGGGATGAGTGCTGTCCGTCGTCCATGCACAGAACTCTCAGGTTCACCAGTGAGGAGACCATGGCCTCTCAACACTAATCTTAGAGTGGCTTAATTTCCAGTAGGATGCCCAGAAGATGATTTTTTTTGACTGCATGACTCCTGCTGACTAAGAGCTGTGTCACACCATTAAAACCTCTTTCACTTTTCCTTCTTGTAACTTGCTAGAATGATAACTGGGAAACTCCCACAGGCCCCCAAAATTTTGCTTGATGGTTGGCTCCCATTAGGGTAATGTATGGTGTTTGCTTGTTGGTTCACTCACCGTAACAGGAAAGCAGAACTCATCTTGGTCAGGATATGGTGGCATGGTCCTCTGTACCTCTGTGGCTTGGGTTGATGTGTGTGAAGAAGGAGACTTACCGAGGCAGGGCTTGGGAAAGAGGAGCAGATCTCCTGATTAGCCCAGGCAGGAGCGAAGCAGAAGTCCTTCACTTGCTGCAGGCTCAGGTTAACTGGTGCCACAGCAACTCAGACCGCCCTGTAAGCCTTGTTGAAGTGCCCAGGCAGCAGAGGAGAAAGGGGCAGTGACAGTCAGGAGGACATGACTGCAGTGCAGGTGGTGGGGCTGCATTAGCAGCAGGGCTCCTTGGGTAGTATGGCTGAGGAAGGGACAGAGACTGCATCCCAGAAGGGCTATTCCTGGGTAGGGCAAGCTCTTCCTTCCCTTCCTATACTCACGGTGCTCCCTCCTGGCCTCCCAGGGCATGCTCACTGTACTGCAATGGGCCTCATGAGTGATGCAGTGTGACACCACAGTGGCTGCAGCTGTGTCCTGAGAAAAGGCATGTGGATATTTCTGTACATAACATAGGGGCCATGGATGGAGACAAGGAACAAGGGCTACCTAGGAGCCAAGCAGGGAGGGGAGCACCACCCAAGCAGGGCTGTCCTCCAAAATTATGACATTTGCTCCCCGTTCGGCCACGCACAGGCACGTACGCACACCCCCGCCAGCTCCACCACGCACATGCCACAGTAGTCCTCACGGCTACCATACAGGTGCTCTCCTTTCCCACACTCTCCATCACACATGCAGCCAGACAGGCACTCATCCCCTTGCTCCTGGCCTGGCTCTGTCTGTAACCCACACAGCTACTGGTGACCTCCTGAGGAAACCAGGAGAAAGTGTGTGCGTGCCTGTGCCTGTGCCTATAGGAGCACATGTGTGTGCCCGGAAAGGGAGGAGGAGGCAAAGAGCAGGAACCTGCCTCCTCAGTGCCACCATCACCTCCCCTAGTCATTCAGCTTTCCCAGCTGGAGCCAAGATTCATCCTCTAGACCTTAAGAATGAAGGTCAGTCCCTTCTTCTTGCTACACGGTGGGGTGGTTAGAACTCTCCTCATTAACAGTGTTATATACATATAAATATATATATATATCTATATCTTTATATATATTTTTCCCCAGCACTGTAGACATGAGCTGAACTTCTCTTTAACGAAACGAGAAAATGGCCATTTAATTTTTTGCCATTGGTTTGTTTTTGAAACTAGCTCTGTGAAAGAAAATTTTAAAAGCGCAAGTGTGTGTGTAAAAGAACCGATCAAAAAAACTAAACAACCCAACAAATGAATGAACAAAACCCAGTGATGGAAAAAAAAAAAAAAGCTTTTTATTTTTTCTTTTCTCAATGTATTTAACTTCTGTTATCTCATTTCTGTTTCTTTACATGTATGAATGCTCTGCTCTTCTGTGATCTTAAAAAAAAATACAAAAAATACAAAAATTAAATAAACGTGAAAAGGAGGTAATGTTTCCTGATTTCCCCTCCCTTCCTTGCGTATTCTGGCTTGCCTCTTCTCTGATCATGTCTAGTGATGACTTCCCAACCCACCTAGGGAATGCGGGCCAGGCTGCCCCTTCCTTCACCTTTCTTGGAGGGGCAAGGTGGTACAGGGCTGCAAGAGAGGCAGGGGCCAGTGCTTCAGATGGAGGGTCCTGGGTCACCCCCAGCAGACTGGCCCCTACAGAGCAGTATGGGGATGAAGGGAGCAGGCTGGCTGTAAATAGGTGTGAGTTGGGTCTGCCAGGGAGAGTGGGAGAGGGAGGGGAGGGGAGGAGCCACGGGTGAAAAGTGCAGTGCCCAGCCCTGAAGTCAGCACTTGCCTTTAGTTCCGGCAAAAAATCTATTTTTTTTTGTTTTGTTTTTAATTAAATAGCATGTTTATATGTGTGTGTGCAGGCAGAGGCTAGGATCAGGGCTGCAGTCCCAGTAGGGGAAGAACAAGGAAGCTGATGGAAGGGATGGGCTGAGGCTGAGCTGCATAGGCAAGCATAGGACAGAACCAAAATATAGAGCATGATGGTGGAGATGGTGGAGACAGAAGAGGATGCTGGTGGGGAAGGAGGTGGGAAATAACTGGCCAAGAAAACAGCAGAACACAGAACTGGAGAGATGAGATTTTATATCAAGGAGGGAGTGGGGAAACAAGGGAATGGAGAGGGTCTGGGGCTTGAAGTGAGGGCAACCAGGACAAGGGGAAGAAGGGCAGAAGTCTAGTACCACAGGCACAAGCAGGCATGAAGGAAACAGGTTAGAAGAAAGGGAGCAGGAAGGAAGGGGCAGCAGAGTAGCCAAGGCAAGTTTTCAAAGACACGCCGCCAAAGGGATGAAGAAACCAAGAACTGTGATCCAGAAAATCTGCTGAAAGGAGAAAGGAACACCTGGGCTTTTTAAATTTGAGGGTTGGAGAGTCCAGGTCATTTACAGCCAGATAACTCCAATGGTAGCGTCTCTCCAGAACGTAAGTGCCATCTAGCTGTCACAGCCTGGCATCACTGTCCTTGTCCCAGTGGGAGAACCTGTATGTCCTGGTGGGTCCTGGGGATGCAGCTAATGTGCCACTGCACACATAGCAGTGCAGCAGGGCTGGGGCAGCCCAGGGGTAGAGCCCAGCAGGTAACAGTGCAGTGTGTGTCTACACCCAACACCAGAGCAGCAGCACAAGGCTGCATGTGGCTGGGCTCAGCTGGGGCAGCAGGAGAGCCTGACTGCAGCTCTGCAGCAGAGGGAGGTGGTCTTGTCCTTGCACACTGCTGGAGCATGAAAAAACAGGGCTCCTTATTTCTGGGTCTGCTCTGCCCAGCACCTGTGTGATACCTTCACTGCCTCTGTGTCACCTTCTACCTTCTTCTCTTGCCTATTTACAGTTCACTGGGGTAAAGACTCAAGACCTACATACAGAATAGGGGTATATTCTATGAAAAGTTTTATATAATTTTGTTTCTAGAACATAACACATAGGATGATGAAAGCCTGATTTTCAGTAGAGTACAGGCTTCTTTCTTAAGTTGCATAAATTAAGTAAAACCCAAGCTGGCACTGAGCACTAGGGACAAGCAGGATGGTGAACATGAATGTGACTAGCCCTTACCATACCTTTACTGTTTGAGATGGAAGAGAAGCGATGGGTTCTGAACCCTCCTCCGTCACCATCATTCTCTTCCCTGGTGCTGGGAGAGTCAAGGAGCAGAGCATGGAGAAACACCGGCACAGCTGCTGGAAGGAGTCCCGGGGAGGGGTGAGTATCACTGTGCTGTATGGATATTAAAGTCAGCATTTAGGTGGAAACAGGCCAGGTTTGTGATGCTGTACATGAATGATACGAGCACTGCCAGGGCTCCACCTCAGTGTCTGCTCTGAACTCACCTGGAAAAGCTGTCCTTGCCTTTTCATCTCCACCACCTTAAAGCTGAGGCTAAAAAGAAGGCGGGATAAACCCTGTCAAGCACAACCTCTCTTTTCATTAACATTTTAAATGGTTGTTTTTAATGGTACATTTAACTAACACTAACTTATCCATGGGAAGAGAATTTGGCTGTTAACACTGGCATCTGCTTAACAAACTGAAGCTTTGCATTTGGTGAGGCGTGAGTGTAACACCAATAGTATTGCTTGCTAACAGCAGACTCATTAACATTAATTTCTGCTTTTACTATCTTGAAGAGCTTTTTGTATCTGTAACAGCAGTTATTAGATGTACCCCGTTCTTACTGAAAAAGGTACTTAGGAAATTGTTAGCAGTGATGAAGACCTACCGGTAAATGAGAATCTAAATTCTTAGCACTTACCATAACTCAAAACTTCCAGAAGAGTAAGAAAAGCAATGAGATGGACTTTTCTCACTGGAGAACTATGTTCAAACACAACTAAACTGCAGTTGGATATTTGTTAGGGGTTACGGTGCTCAAAGGCTAGAGGAAAATGCGTGTCCGTAAAAATAACTTGCAATTCAGCACAGACTTTCTATCCAAAGCAGGCATTGTCAGAATGGGCAAAGAACTGGGTTTAGAGAGATAAGATCTCCCCAAGGCTCCTTTCTTTCAGGCTAAGCAAACCCAGCTCCCTCAGCTGCTCCTTGGATGGCTTACCCTCTAGACCCTTCACCAGCTGCGTTGCCCTTCTCTGGACTCACTCCAGCACCTATTGTCCTTCTCACACTGAGAGGCCCAAAACTGAACACAGGATTCAAGGGGCCTCCTCACCAGTACCAAGTATAGACAATCACTGGCCTAGTCCTGCTGGCTACACCATTGCTGATCCATTGGCCTTCTTGGCCACCTGGGCACACTCTGGCTCATGTTCAGCTGCTGTCAACCAGCACCTTCAGGTCCTTCTCTGCCAGGCAGCTTTCCAGTCACTCTTCCCCAGGCCTGTAGCACTACGTGGGGTTGTTGTGAACTAAGCGCAGGACTCAGCACTTTGCCTTATGAATCTCACACTGTTGGCTTTAGCTCATCAATCCAGCCTGTCCCTCTGCAGAGCCTTCCTACCCTCCAGCAGATCAACACTTCCAGCCTTACTGCCATATTCAGACTTATTGAGGGTGCACTCAATCCCCTCTTCCAGATAGCTGATAAAGATATTAAACAAAACTGGTCCCAGTACTGAGCCTTGGGGAACCCCACTAGTGACTGGCCACAAACTGGATGTGGCACGTTCCCTCTCTGGGTCCAACCATCCAACCAGTTTTTAACTCAGCCAAGAATGCACCTGTCCAACCCATGATCTGACAGGTTTTCCAGGAAGATGCTGTGGGAGACAGTATTGAAAGCTTTGCTGAATTCCAGGTAGGCAACATTCACAGCCTTTCCCTCATCCACTAGGCAGGTCACCTGCTCATAAAAAGGGGACCAGGCAGGTCAAGCAAATATAAATCAGGATGGAAATGTCACAACTCATCATTAAACACAGACCCAAGCAAACCAAAAGCACTGAGGGCATTTTTCAGTGGTTGTGACATGGGATATCTCTGAGACCCAGAAACTGCAGTGGTTTCCAGAGCCGGTAATCCAACACCTTGTAACTGGTCTGTCATCTGGGTTATGAACTCTGTCCACATGGCAGGTGTGGTGTCTGTAAAAGCTTGAAAACATGTTGGAGAGTATGAGTCTTACACAGTGCTTTCTGGTGATTAATACTTTTGTAGTGTATGGTTTGTAGAATATTTACTGCTTTCTTTTCATGAGTGCTGCTTTCCAGTTTAGCTTAAAAATGGTGCAATGACCAGGGAATTAGAGGAACAAATGTTTGAACCAATATCACAAAGAGGAAGGTGTTAATTGAAATGCATAATAAAGTTGTCATACGTTCGAATAACCTTGGTGATAAATCTGATTTTAGGTCTTTTAAAATATTACAGATAATGAAAAACATTGACCAGGAATAACACTACTCTGCCAGATGAAAGCTCTTCCAAAATTGTTACAGAGCTGGAGGGCAGCAAGACTTTAGGCTTGGTTTGGAAATCACACTTTGGCATTGATCTGCTGCTGCCCCATCCTTGGGTGCTGATTTTCTTATCCAGCTCTCTGCCTGGGACTTGCAGGTTGCAGTCCCTGATACCTATGGTCACAGGCTGCAGTACTGAAAGTGGGAGAGTTTGTGGAAGTCATTGGCTGAAGTAGACGGTCCCATCTTCTTCAAGCTCAACAGATGGATCTGGATTTTCCATCTCTTGGAGCCCAGCCTCTAAGGCTATTTCTTTAGCTTGCAACTCAGTTTGCAACCCAGTCCTCCCAGATGGAGAAATCACCCCAGGATCTGAGCCCCTTGACGGTGCCACACAGACAGAAGGTCAGTGGGGATGCACAAGACACTGGACACAAGTGCAGGAACCCAGCAGAATTTCAGTCCCTCACAGTTCATCTGTATTCCAGTCCTGGCCCTGCATTCCACACTACATGGTCACATACAGCTCTGATATTTGTGCAGGCTTGTTTCCTCTAGATACCTGAGTTGAGTACGGTTATATTTTGCCCTGATATTCGTATGTTCCCTCCCACCACTGAGGCCATGCACTTTGTCTGGCATTGAAATTTTCATGGGGAAGAAGGGTCTAATTCCCACTGCAGGCAAGTAGCAGAGTCAGGACCCAAAGATGCCATTATGAGAGAAGTTATTTTGCTTTCAGGTCAATAGTTATGGCAGCACAGAAAGCAAGGACCTTGCACCAAAGAGTCTGCAGGGGTACTCCTTGCCACTCATCCCACCTTGCATAACAGAACTAAGACACCCTTCCCTTCCTTCCCAGAATCAGAGCTTGAGGGTTGGTTGTCTGTCTGCCTAGTGAAGGAAGGGGTGGGCTCACCACATCTTTCTGTGACTGATACTGTACCCAACCCAAGATCTTCCTGCCACCACAGAACCTTGCACACCTTCAGCACAGCCCCCTGCCACTGATCAAAGCTCTTGTCCATGGCAAAGCTGTGCAGAGGTTCATTGCTGGAAGCATCTGCTAGTGCCAG